AGGCGCCAGGGGCGAGGGCTGTGGCCGGGGTGAACACCAGCGGATAGGGCAGGAGGGTGGGATGAGCGTGGGAAGCCGGTTGTGAGTGCAGGCTGTGGGCTGGAACTAGACATGAGGCGCTGAGGCTGCAGGAAGGGGCTCCGAGCGGGGCAGAGGGTTCGCGCATGACGGTTGGTGCTGGTTACCGATTGTGGGTGGCTCTGACTTCAGCTTCCGGAAGCAGCCCACACGTCCTGCTGTGAGGCGCTGAGGCTGCAGGAAGGGGCTCCGAGCGGGGCAGAGGGTTCGCGCATGACGGTTGGTGCTGGTTACCGATTGTGGGTGGCTCTGACTTCAGCTTCCGGAAGCAGCCCACACGTCCTGCTGTTTCCTGGGTAGAGCAATAGCCAGGGGCTGTTTGTGCTGCAGGCAAGTGCAGCCTCCACAGCTGCCTTGGGGCACAGTTCCTGGCCAGTGGGAGTGGCAGAGCTGGTGCCTGAGGTGGGGATGGCACGTAGAGCCCTATGTGCTGCTCCTGCTTCTAGGAGCTGGGGGACATGCTGGCTGCTCCAGGAGCCGGGCAAAGAGCCATTTAACCCCACAGTGCTGTCAGCTGAGCTTCTCACAGCCTGGGCCGTGGTGCTTCCCAGAGCTGCCTGTGTCCCTTTTCCACTGGACGCCTGGTACCCTACCGGAGCGCCGTGCAATAACCAGCCAAGGCACCCGGCCTGCACGTTGAAGCTCCATGCCTGCTGCAGAAGGGAAGAGTTTTAACCAGTTCTCTTCCTTCCGTTTGTCTCTCTTGGGGGGCATTTTCTTTTGCCTCCTGCTCTTTGCCAGCTCCAGAGGTGTGGAAACTAGCCCTTGGGCCTAGCTCTCCCTCCTGCCATCGAGATCCATGAGATGTGCGTAACGCTCGTGATTACAGAGAAACGTGGGGCTCTGCGTATTTGCTTCCCGGGTCTGGATTGTTTGGAAGGGCCTTTCTGGCTTTTCTCCCCAGGCAGGAGGCTGGATGGACTTTCCAGAAAGGAGAACTGGGATTCTCCAGGAAGGTGGTTCCAGGAGCTGTGTATTAAGGAAACCCCAGGAGGAGGAGCTGGGTTCAGTGCCTGGCTTTTACCATCCTCTGTGGCTGTGAGAGCAGGGGGCCGAGAAAAGTCCCTCTGAGAAGGACTGATGGGGGGGAGGACTGGTTAAAACTGCCTCATTCTGCAGCGACCCTTGTTTCGATGTACAGGCCAGATCCCCACCCACCTGCCTTTGCTCTGGCTCTCGCTGCTCTGGTAGCTCCATGGCCTTGTCTGAGCAGTGAGGCCAGGGGGCTGTGGCCCTGCTGCTGCCTGTGTTTGCTCCTACATCTCCCAGAGCACCTGGGGCATGGTGACGGCCCGAAAGCTGTGGTGCTAGAAGCAGGTAGCCAGCATAATCCAGCGCGGGGGTGCCAGCTGCGCTGTGTGCTGAACTGTGTTTTCTCCAGCAGGTTGTGGGAAGAGGCCCTGCCCAGGCCAGTTGGCAGCTGGGGTTATCTTGACGGCCAGAGAAAGGACTGCTGAGACGGGAATTGCCATCTCTAAGAAGGGAGACAGCAGGAGTCTTGTCCTTGAAAGGGGGCTCTGGGGACATGAGGTGGCCGTGTGTCTGGCTCTTCTGTTCCCTGGGCCCACTGGTCCTGCTCTCTGCAGCCACCACCCCTCCAAACATAGTGTTAATCTTTGCAGATGATCTGGGGTTTGGAGATTTGGGGAGCTATGGGCACCCCACCTCAGCCACACCCAACCTGGACAAGATGGCAGCTAGGGGCTTGAGATTCACGGACTTCTATGCCAGCTGCCCGGTCTGCAGCCCCTCCCGGTAGGTCCAGTTTTGTCCTGCTCCCCCATTCTGCAGCTCTTCCTAGGACAGAGCAGTAAACTGGCTGAGGACAGGGCATGAGAAGCAGATGACGATTGAATTGTGAGGGTCTGGGGGCTGTCTAAATCTCTCCTAGCTGACCTGCCTGGGGGAAAAATGGCCTGGTAGTAATTTGCAGGGATGGAGACAGGGTCATTGTGGGCTGGCAGTTGCTCATGTGGGGCTGACAGCTGTGACCAAAGAGCCACGCAGCCATCCCTGAGCTCGTGCAACCGTTTAAAAGGTTAAATCCTCTGACCTGCTCTCCCAGCCTGTGTGACGAGAGTTGAGGGGTGTGGCAGCTTTTGCTGTAAGAGCTCTCTCTTGAGGGCCCAGCTGGGATTGGGGCCCCTTGTGCCACAACATCATGTATATAGTAGCTAGTGTCTGAGTCTGTAATGCTGACGTACAAGGCCATGCCCCCTGGCCGTGTGCGTCAGCGTCCCTCTCTCCGTGGCGGCTTGGCTGAGTGCTGCGCCGCTCAGCTGGGCCCCGGCTAGGGTTGCCGGGTAGACCCCGCTAAAAAACCGGACATGCTTGTCCGGGGGGTGGGGGGACGGACGGAAAGCAGAGCTGGGGAGAGATCAGGGGCCGTGGGGCTGGAAGGGGGGGCCCGGAGGAAGGGGGGCAGGAAGAAGGGCTGACGGGGGGCAGGGGGGCCAGGTGC